CCTAAGCAGGCACTTTAGTCCCCTGAGCTAGCTCGCTGGCCCTCGGCAAGCTTTTGTAGCACCTTATTAGTACTCTTTCCAATATTTATTTTTTATTTTGTGTTTTTGAGACAGGGTCTCACTATGACATTCAGGCTGGCTTTGAACTTGTAGTGGTCCTCCTGAGTGCGCCACCATGCCCCGCTACTTCACAATATCTACTGACGGAAATATCTGTACTCAGCTGGGCATGGTGGCGTGCACCTGTCATCCCAGTACTTGGGAGGCTGAGGCAGGGGGACCTCCATGAGCTTGTGGCCAGCCTGGGCTACGTGGTGAGTTTGAGGCCATCCTGAACTATAAAGTGGAAAAAAAAAATCCTACTCAACTTCTTTTGGGGCTTGCGGGTTAGCTCAGCTGTTTAAGCGCCTACTACTCTGGCAAACCCAGTCAGGCGCAGGGACCATGGTTCGATCCCCAGACCTGCTCTTAAGGCAGTTTGAGACAGCTAAAATAAAAAAATAAATAAATTTTTAAAAAAATCCTACTGAACTATAAAGTGAGATCTGCCTGCCCCAAAAAGCAAGATTCCATCTCAAACAAATAAAATAATAGGGATGATCACTGTATAATAATAGTAATAATAAAGAGAAGTACAACAACACGTTATTGAGCTTGCCTTTCGGTAAAGTAAAATGCAGCCTACCGCACGCCCTAAGCGGGCTGGGAACCGAGAGACCAGGGAAGGCAGTGCCGGAAGCTGCTAGTGGAGATCTAGCTTCTGAGTCGGAAAAAGGCAGGCTGAGGTGGGGACGTCACCGGTGCTAGTGTGCTCGCCTGGCCCTGGGTGTGATGCCTGCTACTCTAAAGGAAAAACAAGAAAATGGGCGAGGCTAGCGTCCCTTACGCGTGATGGCTGCTCTGGAGACTGGGAAGCTGCTCGGTTCAGGGTGAGCCGGGCACGTGCCCTTCCCGGTGGCGTGTGGCAGTCACATCCCAGCGACAGCACTGAGGGCCGCGAGACCTGCACTTGCTCCCTGACCGCCTTCATTCCTTGTGACAGACGCAGTCAGCAAAAGTGGGTCAGCGAACTGGAGAGCGCAACATCGGTCCCCAACGTGTGTCCTTGAACATTAAAAAGGACTCCATCGGCTTCCTTCTCAGCGGTAGCAAGATGCAGCGCTCGTCTCCTGCATCCGAAGAACTCGGGACACGGCGCAGGCCGGCGACAGGCTCTTGGCCTGTGTGCACAGAGCCCTGCGTTCAGTCCCCACGGCCACAAACACCCAGAGATTCAAAACGCGTATCAAGCAGGGCTGGTTGTGCACAGGGCCCTGGGTTCCCTACTCAGCAATGAAGAAGAAATTCAGGGCAAAGGCGTTTAATTAAGCCAGTGGACACGGTAGCACACACTGTACTCCCAGCACGCAGGAGGCTGAGGCAGGAGGATCGCTGTGAGTTCAAGGCCAGCCCCGGCTACATAGTGAGCTTAAGGCCAGCTTGGACTCCATGGCAAGTCCCTGTCTCAAACAACAACAAAAGTAAATTAATCCATGTTTCTTCCATGAATCTACTGAAAATAACAGTTGTAGTGACTTGGCAAATTTAAGGAAATCTAATGCCAATTTTTTTTCTCTAAAAAGATGAAACTCTCTATACAGTTAGTAAAATCTTTAAAACAGTCCATATATTAACAGCTTAACTTTATTTTTCCTTTCCCTCCAAAACAGAACTGTGATAGCCAGTGCTTTCACAAATACATCGCATGGGCTTTTCAAGGCCGCCAAGCGAAAAGAGGGGGGCGCCAGAGGAAAGAAAGGGCGCTGAGAGCGCCACCCCGCCCCCAGTCCTAGATGAACCCTTCAACTGAGAAGAAAATGAAACCGAGATAAAAGTCAGAACTCTGCTTTTGCATAAATCTGCAATTGATAAACCATGGAGAAAAATATTCTTCCCACCAGCAGATAACAGCTGCACAAAGGGCAGGCAGGAAATTCCGGTCTTGCGAGGCTGAAGCGCGCCCTGGCTAAGGCTGCGTCCTCCAGCTTCCTGCCTCT